AGCAACCTCCAACTCCTGGGCTCAAGTGAGTCTCTTGCCTCAGCCTCCCAAGTAGCTGGGATCACAGGCGCCCGCCACAACACCCGGCTATTTTTTTGGTTGCAGCCGTCATTGTTGTTTGGCAGGCCAGACTGGATTCGAACCCGCCACCTTAGGTGTATGTGGCTGGTGCCTTAGCCACTTGAGCCACAGGCGCCGAGCCGCAAGAGAATATCTTAAACCCAAGAGTTTGAGGTTGCTGTAAACTGTGATGCTACGACACCCTACCAAGGGTGACATAGTAGGATTCTGTCTCAAATAAATAAATAAATAAATGATTAAATGATAATATTATTTTCAAAAATAATTTTTTTCCTCTAAGTAATGGGAGAGATTTTGAAGGCTAGACCAAAGTATATGCACTTGGAAACCTGAATTAAATGTATTTCTTCCCAAAGAAGGTATTTTGGGCTCGGCGCCTGTGGCTCAAGCAGTTAAGGCGCCAGCCACATACACCTAAGGTGGCGGGTTCGAATCCCCAGCCTGGGCCCGCCAAACAACAATGACGGCTGCAACCAAAAAAATGGCCGGGTGTTGTGGCGGGCACCTATAGTCCCAGCTACTTGGGAGGTGAGGCAGGAGACTGGCTTGAGCCCTGGTGTTGGAGGTTGCTGTGAGCTGTGATGCCATTGCACTCTACCCAGGGGGATAGCTTGAGGCTCCGTCTAAAAAAGAAAAAAAAGAAGGTATTTTGGACCCTAAGGGAAAATGCTAATGCTGACAGAAGCAATGCCCAGTGTCAAGAGAAAGAATTTTTTGTTTAACTAACAATTAAGTATTTATTCTTTAACTCTTTTAAGAACTTAGGTTTTAGAGAACATCTTTTCCTTCTTCTAGCTACCACTGGAGAAAAATGAACCCTCAAATTTAGTCATTCTGTTTGCCTACCTGCCTTAATTTTTAAGGATGCTGTTTGTTTTCACTGGAGTCAAAATGCTGCCTACTATATATAGTATGTGCTTTCAGTTGTGGTATCAGCACAAGCAGCCTTAGGGCTCTGCTACTGAGTTTTTGGCTGGAGAAAAAAGGAATACTAATTTCAGGGTTTTAGTTTGCTTATGTTTCAACACCCACACACACATACACCTGGCCAAACAACAGCCTTCTCAAAATTTTATTTCCTAATAAATAGAGTTGGATAGCACTAAAGATTGGAAAACAACAACAACAACTAAGAGTTATTATTCATTCCCTAAATCTCTTAATCCTATAAATTTCTCTTTTGATAAGTGATATACTTCTTTATTTTGTTATTACCATAGAAAACAGGAAACGAAAACTAAATAAATCTTCATCTTTGGTGCATGGGTGAAGAAAAAGAAAAAAAAAAAAGTAAATCATTCCATTAATCCTGAGTTAGTGTATGTGTTCCTGATTTGAGTCTTTCTGCAATTTGGGAACTCAGGGATAAAATAGGAACTTTTAAAACAAAGCTTTTCTTTAGCTAGCTCAGCCTTTCTCATCAATACCCAACTGCATTTAAAAACTGGTTTCAAAGGTAATACATGTCCTCTATGTGGCTGACTCAAAGAAAACTGTGTTTTAAGAACATAACCTGGGCACAGTGGCTCATGTCTATAATCTTAGCACTCTGGGAGGTAGAAGTAGGAGGACTGCTTGAGGTCAGGAGTTTGATACCAGCCTGAGCAAGAACTAGACTTCATATCTACAAAAAATAGAAAAATTAGGTGGGCATAATAGTGTACCTAAGAGTTTTAGGTTGCTGTGGGCTATGATGCTATAGCACTCAACCCCAGGGCAACTAAATGAGACTGTTAAAAAAAAAAAAAGGTCCAGTGTGGTGGCTCACACCTGTAATCCTAGTTGTCTGGGAGGCCATGTGGTTAGATAGCTTGAGTTCATGAGTTCAAGACCAGCCTGAGCAAAAATGAGACCCCCCATCTCTACTAAAAATAGAAAAAATGAGGCAAGAGTACTGCTTGACCCCAAGAGTTGGAGATTTCTGTGATCTATGATGCCACAGCACTCTACCTAAGGCGACAGCTTGAGACTATCTCAAAAATAAATAAATAAATACAATAAAATAAATAAAAAATAGAACTACCACATGACCTAGCAACACTGCTGGATCTATAAACAAAGGAGGGGAATTCAGCATATTGAAAGATATCTGAGCTTCCATGTTTATTATAGCATTAGACACAAAAGCCAAGATTTGGAATCAACCTAAGTGTCTATCAGCGAATGAATGGACAAAGAAATTGTGGTACACATACACAACGGAATAAGTCAGATCTATCTTTCTGACCTTGGCTGATTTCACTTAATGTAAAATTCATGTCCATCCATGTTGTTACAAATGACAGGATTCTTTTTGTGGCTAAAAAGTTATTATTCCATTGGGTATGTGTACCACAATTTCTTTGTCCATTCATTCGTTGATGGACGCTTAGGTTGATTCCAAATCTTGGCTTTTGTTTGTAATGCTGTAAGACACAGGTGGCAGGTTCAAACCC